TTGCTCCAATGCGGCGGGTCAGGCATGCCCAAACCGTACGGGAAGACAAAGGGAAAAGCCAGTCCGAAATATGTGGGCTGAAATTGGTCCAGCAACTTCGTGCCGGTATACAAAACGACTTCAGGTAGCGTTGTTTCTGCAGTCCCGTCGCTGTGATGGACAATGTCTTCCATGGCGGAGACGTGCCGCGCGTTAATGTCATGGAACCCCGCCGAAGATTTCTCTAAGACAACAGCGTTCGGCTTCAGCAGGCGGCTGAATTCGCGTTCAAGCTGTTCCTCGGTCATTGCATCGTTGACCGGCGTCGCAGCTTTCTGTCGTTGCACTTGTGTCAAGGTGCCATCGTTCGCAAACAAGGCGACTATTTCAGCTGGCACGTCGTCTTCCGGCAACTGTTCGGCCCGCTGCATCACGGCTGCCATATCGACGGCTTTGTATGCCGGATGTCCGCGGGAGACCATGGCAGCAATCAAACCGACCACCACCTGCCGCCGAACCACAGCCTGGTGAATAATCCGTTGCGGCACGTCTGCCCCTTCTTGCTTATTTCCGACTTTGATAAGGACGGCAATCTTGTCGCGCAATTCGTATCCAACGTGTGGCAGCCGACACGTTGCGGCCGTGCTTGCAGTGGGATTCAGCCGCTCGAGCTCGGACAGAAGGTCTTCCCACTGCAAAGGAAAAGTTGTGGCATTGCCTTTGGCGCATAAACGGTGGCGGTTCATAAAGGCGTCTTGTGCCAAGCTGCGATCTGAGAGATATCGCCATTCAATGCTGAAGCATGTCAATGCAGTCAAACACGGACTCGCGCTCAGAACTTCTAATACAGTGCATTGGAGCGCATAGAGCTCGCGCGGTGGGTGGCCCAGCAGCATGTCATTAGTCAACGCTTCTGCCGGCTTCTGTCCGCGACGATACAGCGAGTCGTAGCATGCAATGCAAATAGGGACACGGCAATGCGCGCACATGCGGTTGGCTGGGCAACGCTGCGAACCTTCACACACTTTATCCTCGGGGCAAACTAATAAAGTAGCAGCAGCCTCCGGGCAAGCGACTTGACAGGTCCATGTTCCAAGTTCATCCCGAAAGGCAGCGCGCGTGTTCGCCGCAAGAGAGTTCACGTACTCGTCCTCATATGTCTGTCGCCCGAGCAGCGCTTCAAGCTTGTTCGGCTCTTGCCCAAGTATTCGACGCCGCTTGGGATCATACGCTTGCAACCACGAAATTTGCTGATGGCCGCAGTCTTCGGTGAATGGAAACCGCCGCGCACAAACGAAACACACGGCAGCTCCGACGCGTCGCTCGCTCAGATTTTCGCGAAAACGACGTAAGCAATATAATGTTATATAATATAATATAATATAATATAATGGAATATAACATAATATAATGTAATATTATATTATATTATATTATATAATATAATATATAATATATAATAAATATAATCATGATATAATATTATAGTATATTATATTAAATTATATTACATTATATTATTTAATATAATATAACATAATATAATGTAATATAATGTAATATAATGTAATATAATATCATATAACATAATATAATGTAATATAATTTAATAATATAATATAATAATATATATATAATATAAACTAATATAATATAATATAACATAATATAATGTAATATAATTTAATATAATACAACATAATAATGTAATATAGTATAATATGATATAATATAATGAAAAATCACATAATATAATAAAATATAAAATAACATACTATAATAAAATACAATATAATATGATATAATATAATAAAATATAATATAGTACAATATAATATAATATAATATACTGCATTGTGTCACAACAGGGCCGCTCAAATGCAACCTCGCCCTATCGGGCCGGGGTCCAGGCCATACCACCGGAGAAGAGTTGATCATCTGAGCCCCACACCACAGACCTCGCCGAGAAACTCGGCCCATGATCATCCAGATATGAAATTTCAACCAATTTTTTACCTAAAATCGATTGGACAGTTAAACCATGCCCCCAAAAATGCATTGTGAAGAAAGGGCATCTCAAGCTACACTACCAACCTACCAAAAGATTAGACACGTCTACCTCACCAGTTTGACTTGACTGGCTTCCCGCCTATTCTTTGACACAATGTTTCAACCAATGTTTACTGGTTAAGCTTTTTTAGGGTTCAAATCTAAACAATTTCCCTATTCAGGGTGACAAGATGTTACAAAATAGGGTATGTAGTCATCCACATCCCGTTGTTGATCAGTTTCTTGTCATTCAGTTTCCTAGCAACATTGTCACATTCTACTGCAGCGAATGTTCAGCCACCGTATCCCTGATTGGTGGTTTCAATCCGATCCAACCAGTAATTTTTACCATAGATATGGATTTTTTTTGGCCCATTGAGTTCAATGATTTAGTTCAATGATTTCCCTATCATTGTGATTTTCCACTTCGCAAACTGTTGAATTATCTATCAATTCGGATACTGGCGAAATCAATCCCATTTACCACAGCAGTAATGTCCATTTTTAATCTGGTTGGTGGTTTCAACCCCCCTGAAACATATTTATCAGATTGGATCATCATCCCAACTATTGGGGAAAATAACAGTATAGACACAGGTGTATCATCACCTTCCCCATGTAAAATAACCATTTGGATTTGGGGGTATACCTATGCCAGTATACTCCATATGACTCCATTTCCTGACAAAACGGATGATGTCATACTGCAAATGACCATTCCTCCAAAACGCTACCAAACAATCTCTATAGATCTATATAAGTAAATTATCATGTTTCGCTAACCTGAATCTTGCGACCATTTAGGGATGATTTCTCTTGTTTACCTAGAACCTGTGACTTAGCCCATCCCCGGCCCATGAAAACCGAGCCTTCTTCAGAGAATAGGCTTCATCCACAAAAAGGACTCCACCAGTGGCTTTGGATGGAAAGTGTGGGATTCAATGGACATTCATGTTGTTTCATATCTGGCTGGTGGTATACCTACCCCTCTGAAAAATATGAGTAAGTCAGTTGGGGTTATTATTCCCAATCTATGGAAAAATAAAAAAACGTTCCAAACCACCAACCAGATATGATTTCATGATTCAATCAGATCGCATGGTGACTTTAGCGGAAGTAATCGGATTTTGGATAGGGTTGATATGGGATTTTCCCAACAAAAAAAGCTGATTTCATTGGATTTCATGACATGTTTCTATGGAAGCCCTGTGTTCGTTTACCCGAGGGTATATTTTAGCAATGCCAAAAAAGATATGTTTTTTGACAATAATCCTAATAGAATAGTGATAATTCAATATCGGCTATCTATGTTGGGTGCTCTCTATATGTCTTCATTTGATTTCACGTGAGTATACGTTAATATAGAATGAGTGTACTATATATATATGTGAATATTATATCTAATCATAGTGAGATGTATGATATATCATATGATATGTACAAAACTATACATACTGTATTGTATACAAATACGAGATATCCATAGATATCCCCGGTGGCCCCCAAACGATTTGCCATTTGGTTACCAAATAACTTGGAGTTATGGTGGATACATCTATAGTCAGATGGGATTATAAATCAACATATAACGGAAGGGGGTCCTGCGTACCTGTAAGCAAGCTATCAATCCAGCCGGTTTACCACGCCCGGTCCACCAAATCTTCTTCCAAAGTGACCACCCGGCCTTTTCCTCTTTCTATGTATAATAATAGGGCCCTTATATATATACATATATATATATATAATATCCATACTATTGTAGCAAGCGCCTCGAAAAGGCAAGGTGGGGGGTCAAAGAAACAAGGTGGAGGATCAAAAAATCGAGGTCCAATTTTTCCGGGGTCGGCGGCAGGGGCGGCAGCCCTTAAATCTGCACTCACAGTCCTTGGCATTGGCGAAGAGAGGGTGCTCTCTCCAAGCCTCCTCCCTCAGCAGTAGAATATTATGGTAGCACAACATGGAAAGAGTGAAGCCAATAGTTTCAAGCACTTGCCAAAATTGGAAGATGGCTGTCATATTCAAGTGTCCTTCAGTCGTCAATATCAGTAGTCTTGAGGCACTTCACAGTACGGTCCATATATCTCCCAAAACGGGCAAATAACTCATAATCCTGAGGTCCTGTAAGATAAAGTTTAAAATACGGGACTTCCGCTGGTTTTGGAACGGGGTCAAAGGGTACAAGCACTGAACTTGCCAAAGTGGAAACATCGTTTTTCGTTGTCCTCTGCTTAGACCTTGAACGCCTTCAATTTGGAATGTATGGTCCTTCAATTGTCCAGCCAATAATTCTTGAACCTCTTGACCGTCCAGTTCACACGGTACAGTAGATCAAAAAAAAATGTTAATCAATCACGGCAAGTCAATTCAAATTCGAAGATCAACACGCGGCTGCGAGTAGAGCAAAATGCAAAACAAGTTAGTATTGGAAATTGCCTACAACGAATGTGATGAATATTCATAGTGCACAATGGTTTCCGACGAAAGAGTACAAGATGGTACAAGCATGTACAAGCAAGGCACCTGCCAAACCGGAACTAGATGGTCTTTGTTTGTCGGGGAGTTTGGGCTCCAACACAGCACGGTCCATATATAATTCTTCTCAAAAAGTGGCGCCCCGTTCATAATTCTGTGAGATTTCGGATGAAGCAACTCCACCACACCAGCTAGGCGCACAAACGCCTCTTTGGCACGTTTCGTGCCAGGCACCAAGCGCCAGAAAGCATCCTGTCAGATTGCATACATACCTCCCTTGTCCTCTAGGAGCCTCTAGGTTAGGGTTCATTCCCAGACTTGCAACCAAACATCCATCCTACCAACTGGCAAAGCTGGTTTGCTTGTGTCTTATTGTGTTTTCTGGTTCTGGTAAGATTGTCCACCCATTTCTGATAAAGAAAATGTCATGTGCGTGGTCATCTAGCTGTCCAAAGGCGTTTTGACGGAGATGAAGAGGGAAACACCACAAAACACCAAATTTTTGCCGACCGTTCCCGCATCAAAGCAAAAAGGCTAAGAGAATGTGACCTCGGTCGGACCGCTACTGAGAGTTTCGCACTGCAAAACTCTACTTCAAATATGTTTGCAGTTTCTGCTTCAAATCTGTTTGCAGTTTCTGCTTCAAATCTGTTGGCAATCAGGAAATGATACACTCACTTGCAGGTGACTTTGGGACCTCATCAGTCACAATGCGGCGAATGCGACGGCTCTTGCCTGTGCTCTGATTTGTCTGCGTCATCTCTCCAAAGCAGACCTTGTAGTGGAAAAACCCGCTTCTGACCACCATCTCCGGCACTGTTCCGTCCTTCAACCATTCAGAATATGCTGAACTTACCCTTTGCCATGCATCAGCCTTGTAGTCATACCAACCATCAGCCTTGCCATCAACTCGATCGTCCACCCAATATTGCCACCTTGGATATACGTTCAACCTGGCCGAAGAGAAAAAGAAAGCAATCCTACCTGGCCTCCAAGCAGGAAAACAAAGCAATTTGAGTTACAAACAGAGTGCTTGAAGTGAAGCCCAAGTCACTTTGAGGTCAACAGTGTTTCCTTTTCAAGATCGCTGACCAGGTCAGGTACGAGCTCTTCGAGCTTCTTGCCCTTGCACGGAATGGTGAGGTTTGCCCCAGACTTTGCCATGTCTCTGATCATCTTGCCTAAGGCCTCCTTGGCTCCTGTGGCCACCTTGTCTAAGCCCGCCATGCCTTCTGCCAAGGTGAACACAGGTGTCGCACCGGTGGCTGGATCAACTTCGCTCATCGGAGCGCCCATGGCTGCACACTTGGCCATCATCTCACCAAATCCTGCCAAACCATCTTCATGTAGTGGAGCTGCCACTGCGGCCTTTGCGATTTCGTTCACAATAGAAACGTCATTTCCAGTGAGACTCAGTAAGTCAGGATTCTGCCTGGCCCACTTCGCAAAGTCTTCAGCTTTACCAGAGCCAATGCTCTCCCAAACAGATGGGAATTGCATTGTCTCCAAAAAGAGGCGAGTCTTGGAGTCGGGGCCCGCTTTGTTGACGTTGACTACCCGAAAAGAGCAGAATGGGGGCAGGACAACTTCTTTTTGGTACACGTACTGGGGGAGGACGTGTTTTTCGATGAGGCATGGCAAGTAGAACTTGTCTGCATTCTCGCCCTCAGACTCATTGATGGCCCCATAGCACCGGATCTCAAATGCGACGTTGCCCCAGTTTTTCAACCAAGACTCATCATAAGTGCAGGAAGAGAAAGTGGGCCACACAGCCACGGAGTCTTTTTGGTATTTTTGCACGATGACATCATCAAGGTGCATGTGTCGAAAGAGGCGGCCATCAAATGGTTTCAAGGCGCGGTCTTCCTCTTTTTTACCTCGAAAAGCTTCGCGAAAGTGTTGAATGTATGGAGCCAACTGTTTCATGGTTGTTGCATCATCCTTAGAGGCATCGGTTCACATCGTGGCAAAGGGGACCGCGGGACCAGGCTTTGGCCAGGGAGGCCTGGAATTGGAGCTCTGATCCTGTGAAGTCAATGTCGTCACATTCCCAGAACCTGCTCTTGTGCTTCCACAACCATCCTCCGGCACCATCAAGGAGAGTGCGCAAGTCTTTCTTGGTGCAGCTGGGCACATTGATGAGCTCATGGAAATTGGCTGGGTAAGTGGTGGCTTCCACAATATCTGGAGGAACGCATGCTTGCCGGAGTTCTTGTGCCGCCTGTGCAGTAGTTTCAACGAAGACCTTCCAGGCAGCCTCTTGGACCTGAAGCATCGCAAAGCTGGCCTTCTCATATCCCTGCAGCGCCAAGTCATAGGACCGTTTCGCCTCCTTGAACTTCTGCAGGTCAAAGGGGTCCTCTGGAGACTCTAAAGCATCGTCTTCAATCTCAGTAGACCTTGAGGTTTCTGAGCCTGACATGGAACTTGACACTGAAGCATGACCTGCTGGAAGCACATGCTTCGATCTTGAACCTTTCTGTTTTGCACCTTCACTGCAGCACTTCGCAAGATGGTAGTCCAGCTTTGAAAGCTCCTGTTTGTGACGTGTCTTGGCCAAATCTACCTCCTGACGGGCTCGGTCAATGGCCGCATCATAGGCTTTCTTGGCGCAATCTTTCTTCTTGGCAAATGTCATTGCGAATGCTTCATAAGTCACTGAGTCTTTCGGCTCCGTGCTGCCTGCCATCTTGTGGTTGGGCAATCGGTTCAGGACTTGCTGCTTTTCCCAAGCCGCAAAAGCTGCCAGGAGGTGTGAAAAGTCAAGCAAATTCAACATGCCATTTCAATGCATTGGGATGTGGGGAAGTCCCAAGAACTGCTGGAAATTCACTGAAATTCACTGAAACAGCCGGAAATTCTCAAGACAGCAGACATCGCAAGACTTCCAGATGTGCTTCTCAATTCCTTTGATCCTGGTATATCCTGGTTCCGGTGATCATACATGAGATGAGCCAGGCCTCCTGGAAGGAGTAAAGCACCTCAGCAGTTCTCTAAGTACTCAAGTTGAGACCTGTTTACCGAAGTACCCTGCAGTTGCAAAGCTGCCATCTTTCAGCGCCCCTGTTCCCCCTCCAGCAATGACGGTCATGAGGATCCAAACGAAAGAGCCAAAGCCAACCATGGGGAAGACCAAGGTGGTGAGTGGCACCAGCACTGCAGACCTCGACAATGGGGGTCTGGTTTCATCTGTTATGTCACTGTCACGTTTATGCCATTTATGCCTGCATTCTCCGCGTGTGAAGCAAGCTGCAGAAGGATGGGACGTGACCGTCACGACCACTGAGTTTCCCTGGCCACTTGCGGTTGTCGCCGTACTTGGCCTCGGCATCCTCTGCCAGCATGGTCAAGGCCGGCAGGGCGGCAGATGCTGCCTGGGAGAAGGGCCAGGATGGCGTGTGTGTTCACACCTCCTTGACATCTGACTGCCTGTTGGGGTATCCCAATGACATCCCATAGTTCACATGTCGAATCACAGGTCTGTCACTTATCTTCACATTGACTCTGACTTGCAAGTTGCCACCTCAGGGTCCCCTGGGCTGTCCCAACCACAGCTGGATTGAAGTCAATGCCAGACTTCGCCTGGAGCTGATGCCCATCACTAAATCTCGACAAAGCTCATTCTGGTGTGCATCGATATGGTTCAAATTGATTCAACATACAACAGGAAAGGGTTGCTTTTGGGGCTACCGGGCCGTCAAAAAGGCTCAAAGCGATCAGTGTATAATAATATATATTAGTATATATACAGGCTGATATATATATATACATTCCGGAATCCAACTGACCAATATCACCTTGGCTGCAAAGCTGCAGTCAAGCACTCTCCACTCCCCAAGTGCCTTTGGCAGCTTGTCTGGACTTGCCAGGAAGCAGCATCGCAAGCCTGGTTCCAGAGAGGTATGGATTGCAAAGGAAATACATCAAATAGATGCACCTCACACATGGAATGCACTTCATCCAGAGTTGTTGGCAATCCCATTCAAACGCTTCTATAATATTCTACAATTGATATCAATTGATGCTTGCATATGGCTGCATCTGCACACATCGTGCCCAGCGAAGAGAAAGTTCTGGTCATTCCTCTATAGATATCCATAGATGGACAATCCCGTTGTCTGGAAGGATCTTAGAGCGCTTCGTTTTGCCGCCCGGCCAGCTCCCTTTTCCACGACCGGGCTCCGCACCTAGAAGTGCAGCCGCAGCCACCAAAAGAAGGCGTCCTTCAGCAGCTAAAACAAGGTGAGTTCACCAAACACCGTGAAGCACAGCCATGGGCAAGCCATGTCAAGCCATGTCAAGCCATGTGGGCAAGCCATGACACAACTCCTGGTCGAGCCATTGTAGCCTTATGCCATGAGGAACCAGACAAAAGTTCCCGCTGTGTACAAAGCTGTTCTGCTTTCATTTGGACACGTTGGAAGCGAAGATTCAATTCAAACAATATTGTCTTCAGGCATGTATGTGGACTGGCAACATGGCTGCTGTCGAAACCTCTGAGGGGACGGCAGATGGAACTTGCGCACGACGGCGACTAAATCGCGCGCTTTGGGTGGAGGAAATGGCTCTGTGGGACATCATATGAACCGTTCACACAATCTGCAGAAGCTGTGGCATCCAAAGCAAAGGTCAATTCAACCAACTGATGTGCCGCACCTGTAAGTGACACTGCCACCTTTCTTCAAAGGTTGACTGACCCCTTCCTGAGATTGTCCCATCCCCGTGTCTCGATTCCCTCAGCAACAAGTAAGAAGCATAACAAGATTAACAAGTACACAATATACAGCAACCGTAAGTTTCCCCCCTCACGGCTCAACATGGCTCAACGCAGCTCAACATGGTTCCACATGGCTCAACGTGCCTACCACATTTTTTTCTGCACATGGAGGTACTGCAGAGCACCTTCTGGACACACAAAAAGCACCGTTGGGGTTTGGGAAATGAAACAGCCGGCCATGGCTAAGCTTGAGATGGTCAATTCATCTCAACTCTCCTGAAGGAGATTCACTTGATAAAGATTTTGCTGGGCACAGCTAAGGCCCAGCAGCCAGTGTTGTTAGCACCGCGACTATCATGGCGCCACACTATTCGTTGGCACATTCAAGTGAAGCGACATGCTTCCGGATTCACATCTTCTCAGATGTCTGGAACGCAGCCAACCTCGCACAAGTCTCTGATGTTTGGATCTTCCACAGTTTACTGGCTTTGGAAGGAGAAGACAATAGCGAAACAGTTCACGTAATTGGTTAAGCGGATTAGGAATCGATATGATCTCTGCACACCATCAGCTTTGTTGTCACTACAACCCTCCATCCCCCTGGGTCGCTTCACGCCTAAGCTGAGAGGGACTTCCAAGTCTCCTGATCACGGCCACACGGCAAGGTGGAAAACCAAATGTTCATAGTTTTAGAATTTTAGAACATCAAAAGGATTAAAAAAAAAAACGTGGAGGAGCTGCCTCGAAATCCCATCAAAATCGGCCGATGAATTTGAGGACTCTAACACGCCGCATCTGAAGATACTGCATGATACTGGGGATCCAAACCCAGTGGGGGGCGTTCTGCTTGGAGAGCTTGGCCAACTTGTCCTTCACGGTCACAGTGCCTTGGCGACATGGCTCTGTGGGCAGGAAAAGGCTGCAATGGCAATTGGATATTGGTGGATCGGAATAGACCGGAAAGGAAAAGTGTTGAGAGTTGAAAAGGACACAACATGCCGACACTTCTGGGTGCCCCCAACTGCCCGCAGGCTTTGCTCGCTCCCAGGCCTCCTCGAGACCTCGGTGAAATGGCCTGTTGTCTTCAACACTAATCCGACAAGCAGCGATTTGTGGACCGCAACACCAAGAGTATCATGCTGACCCAGAATGAATACACTCTTGGTGTATTCAATATGCGGGATGCTATTTCCTTGTAGCAAAATAGCACTTTGGGGGAACCCCCTCATTTACAAGCCATCGTTTAACGATGTTTAAATAGGCTATTTATCGGTCGTATAATACGTGTAATCAAATGCCAAAGGCGCAGTGCAAGGTTTAAGAAGATGTACAAAAGCGACCGATAGAGCAAGTTCTTTTGCGGCAACAGCCAGAACACACTCTCGCTGGAACAGAGATGTTAGCTAATGTTAGCTGGGCTTCCCTGACCCTTCTCATAGTCGTCAGGGTTCAGCAGGCCGTTCATTGGGTCCTCAAATTGCACCAGCTGTTGCTATCTGACCTCGACTTGCTATCCGTCAACCCATTCCGAGCTGCTCCCTGCCTTGGCGTTTGCGAACAGAGGGTGCTCTCTCCAGGCCTCCTCCCTGAGCAAGGTACGAGTGGTACTCTATGGCATTATGGGCCAACTGCCATCCATAACCAGAAAGATGGTCAAAATATGTCAAAATCCTGTTGCATCTGATGACATCAGGAGGGTTGTTTGCACTAGTTTCAAACAACAGCTTGTTTCACAGCAGTGAAGGTTCAAGAGCGTCTAATATCTTGCAGCTACCATCACACAAGTATTAGATAGTACTGCCCCTCTTATCACAAAGTACAAATGATTCCCAAAATTGATATGAAAGATCCAGGTAAAGTATTTGCCGGTATCTGCCGGCCTTTCCCATTGCATCCCAGCGGTGCACTGAGTTCCCTACGCTTCCTTGGCACGCTTGGTGCCCGGCACAAGGCGCCAGAAGGCATCCTGCAAGATTGGACACGCTATGGACACACTTGTAAAGGAAGAAAATCAGAAACAGCAAACTGAAGCAGCTGCTTTTGATCAAATATCCGGAGCGCCAACATAGGATTGTACAAAAGGAGCAACTGACGCAACAAACAAAAACCTCCTGCCAAAAGAAACTAGGCTGCGAGCCTCCTGGAAAGAGTACAGCACCTCATCAACGCATACTCGATCCAGAGTTGCTGTGTCACATTCTGACTCGGAGTTTAGTTTTGCCCAGCAAACATAGTCATTCTGAGGACTTCACAAAGGATCCGAAGCCGACCATCGGGAAGACCAAGGTGGTCAGGGGCACTAGCACAGCAGACCTCGGTGGAGTGAAGGACTTTTACGCTTGTGGTTTTGGTGCTTGCCCAAGGAAAGGTATCCCAAGGCCTTTTTTATGTGAAAGCGAGACTTGTGGAATAAAGTGCATGTATCCAAATGAATAGTTTGAATACATGGTGAATGGCAGCACTTCCGATCGGGCATGGAGAAATAGCAAAAATGATCCAACAACATCACTTAGACTTCAAGATAGACTCCGCATGCAGTATTTTCAACATCAAGACACATATCAACATAGCGTCCCAATACCAAAACTTGGCGTAGCTACCCCAAAAGAACCACTCAAAGGCTTGGCATGAGCTTTCCCTCTGAAAGAAGATGGTGTTCACCCACCAACCGCAACATCCATCGACAGCACCAGGTTCCCCTGGCCACTTGCGGTTGTCGCCGTACTTGGCCTCAGCATCCTCCGCCAGCATAGTCAAGGCTGGCAGCGCCGCGGAGGCAGCCTGGGCGTCATGGTGACATCATCCTTGCAAAACGTTTGTGAGGGAAAAAGTTCGTGAGTTCATGGCAACATCAAATTTCATGATTCATGGCATTGGGAGCGAGTCGAAAAAGTAAAATGCGCAAAATGCCAGGTAAGGCTTGATCCACGGCAGGGTTGAAGTCGATGCCGGTGCGAGCCTGTGCAAGCAGGCTGCTCAGGCTGCCCACGCAACTAACCAGGCATCATGGCTTTGGTGAGCACGACCAAACAGGTGCTGTAGTTGGTCCATTTGAAAAGAGCTCAGAAGATGAACCAAATTCGAAGTCGGCTTGTATTCCAACTGGAAATGTGCAAAAAGAAAAAATATACAGTATAATATATATATATATACATATATATGATGTGATAAAACAAATATGATATCAAATGATATCATTCATTAGATCATAATAATAAGTATTTAAATTCTTACCATCTTATTCTTCCCTTACCTGCTGTACAGCCAGCCAGGCCCAGGCCTTGGGGAGCTCTGCCGGACTTGGCACAAAGCAGTACTTGAGGCCTTGGGACAACTTGCAAACTTGGCACAAAACAAGTGTTTCAGCACAGAAGTTGTTCCAAGGTGCAGGGCTGATGGCTGACATCGCAGTTCTTAGTTTCCAGCCCACAAGTACTGCTGCCACCAGGAGGATAAGACGGCCTGGTTGATCTATCGAGGCAAGCTTCGAGTGAAACCCAAGGATTGGAGACGGTGCTGTAGCATCTATATGAATCTATATCGTCTCTGCATATGCATACCATGCTTCCCTTTCGCCTTAAATTTTGGATTATATTGCCAGCCGATGTGGTTTGATTACAGTAGCAGTCCGAGAACACCACCTGTTTTTCTCGATGATAATACAACTCAAAGTTTTGGCCCTGATAATCCTGATATCACTCCTCAAAATTGCGTGGCTCGAGAATCCGAGACGGTGTAGAAAGTGACGACAAATTTGACCAAGGACATTGAGACCCGATTGGAACTTGATGTTGAAGGATTACATGCATGGTGACGTGCCTTCAAAACCTTCTGGCAATGCAATATCATAAGCTCACAATCTTCCCGAATTCACACAGTTACAATATGTTCCTTGTGCATGCAGTTTGTTTATCGTACTTTAGACCATGGCAAAAACAAACTCTGGTTCGAAAATTGCAATGCGTAAACTTGATGCAATGCCGCTGCAGGCTGCAATTTCTGTGCCCTGCCTGGACGAGCCATGTTGGAGAGCCTGGCCAGGCTTAGATGGAAGAAGGCTGAGAGGCTGAGGGGTTGGAAGATCTGCTGCCGGTACCGACATGTACAGGAGGTACAGGCCATCTGTACGTCAGCAAAATATGGAACTTAGACTTAGCTTGACGCTCTGTGTGGGGGGTTCACTTCCAGACGTAGCCAACAAGTCCTTTGGAGCAATCGACCATGCTAGCTGCTGGAGTATTGGGAAACTGACACTAGATGACGCAAGTAGATTCTTGAGCATTTGTATGATGAAATCAGGATGTTTGGGTTCCCCAGCTTCAATCTTCATAAGACCATCAATGATTTCCCTTTGCATCGTACACGTCGTACAAATGATCCAATGCAGACTCCTGCAACACAACTGCCCTATCAATGCCACCATGCCTGAGGCAGATATGACGTGTGGGGCCGGCTGTTACTGGAGCCAGGAGGACGGCGGCTGTCGGTGAAGCCACCTGTACCATCAGTACGTTGACACCTTTGAGTCACCAGAGGTCACCAGATGTCACCAGTCACATGGGATGATGTTCAATGACAAGACAAGAACGGAGGGGCTGGAGATGGTTGGAGCGTCTACAACATCCTGTGAAACACAAGAAAGAGACTGACACTGGCATCCGGGGTCATTGCAAGTCACCCCTTCCACATGTGGTGCGAAAATGTTCAGCAGAAAAGCTAGATTTGCGCAGAGAAGTGATGTTCCCTTTTTTCTGCGGTGCAAAGGTCCATCTTTGAGACCCTCCAAGCCTTCTCACCAAGTTTGGCAAGAAGGATGATCAGTAGCTCAGGTCCCGACTAGATGATCTCTGAAAGGTCTAGCAAGCTCCCTTAATCTAATTGAGTGAATACTATATATATATATAGTGAATATATATATATATATGCCTTTTATTACCTGTTGTTGTTGTTCTACTCCAGTACTTCTCTGAAGTTCGATGTTTCGAGAATGGCCAACGGTAACAAATGGTTGGCTCGAGATGAAATACCGTTACAACAAGCTGTTCAAACAAAAACGAAATGCCTTCTCAGACTATCCCGACAATTCGACGCAAACGCTTGGCTTGAAAACGTCCTGTTTTCTAACGTCTGGCTCTTCTGATACCAATGGCTCTTCATTCAGACAGAGAGTAGTGAGCCAAGACTCACCAAGGCTGAAACAGGTCTGGTCTGGTCGAGACTTGGGCCAACGTAGATTAACTAAGGGCAGCATGTCTGCAGAATGACACTCAATGCGTTCTCCTAGTCTTCATGATTCCTGCTTTTGTAGACACGCTGCATCATTAGCAGTGCTACGGCATAGCACAGTCCTTGCTCGAGAAAAGATGGACCAGCGAAGTCTTCAGGTGGTTACAACTCAAAGCGTTGGTGCAAAAGACTGATCAAAAAACATGCAATGGGTGGCACTTGAAGGATGATGCTCCTGCTGGTTGCCAAATGGCGCCCCAGTCTTTGAGGCACTTTCACATTGGTCTCAGGGTCACAGTTCGCAAGTTGTGGTACCCTTCGGCCTGAGAGCGAAACATCGACAACGAGTGTCCTGGAAATTTTGAAATGACAGGTTGGCCATGCTACTCTTGAACAGGCGACGCAAAGAAAACACAGACTGTGCTGAACAGTCTGGTTGCTTTACTGTGTAGATCTGTGTAGTATCTTTTCTGGTATCGTTTTGTTTTTTGTCCGCTTCCAAGGCCAAACAAAACCCAGATCTCCTTTGATCCGACCCTATCCCGACCTCAAAATGAGTTCCAGCTAGGTGTAGCCCTACAGGCCCTACCGGTCCGGCTAACCAAGAGATTCTATTCCCAACAGCTGGGCTGTGCACCTGCAGGCGTTGCAAGATCTCCTGCTTCACGTTGGGACCTGGCGAAACTGAGCGTTGCTGCCAGCAAGCACTGGCTTTTAGAAGCCATTGAAACAAAAGCTTTGCCACACAAACTATGTTTCACAAAGCCTACTAACCTGTGCAATCGATTCACCAGCTGTGATCCTGCAAATCTTCGCTAACATCATGCAAGATGTGCAAGATATGCATTCTTGTTTTTAATACTTGTTTATCAAGTCGAAGAAACATGAAGAAACGCGTCTGGAGGCGCCCCAGGTCCAGAATTGTCCATCGCCACAACCAGCGCGCTCGGCCAGGTGTTCCAAGCCCGAGTCCTGAATGGTGACCAGCAATGGGGCACGGCGAATCATGTAGAATTTACATATTGATTGTCACGGATCGACGGGTCAATGGATGAACCCATAATATGCACAATAGAAAGTCATGTGAAAACCTCCTGGCGGCATAGATACTTATGTAACATATTCTTATGTGTGTTTATACGTATGTATACGTATATAAGTCAAGTGCCTATGCCTGTGTTGTATTGTGTTTTATTGTAGTGTAAGGCAGTGTAGCACAGGGTATGGTATTGTGTGGTATTGTACGGCATGGTACGGCATAGGATAATATTATAGTATTGGCATGGTACTTGGTTTAATGGGCAACGCAATGCAGTGCAAGTACATGCTAAATAACCAGGTAGATAATGATGAACAAGATATAGCATGATATAGCTATACTATGCTATGCTTATACAGTTCAATACACAGTCTTTCACACCAGTTCACACCCAAAAATACCAAACATCTGTCGAGGCCACAGCATCCCAGGGCTCCCAGCATCGCGCAACGTCAGCAACTTCCGGGAGCCATCTTCAAAGGTGCCCAACCTCAGCGTCGAACCACAGCCCTGCGGTACGGTGCTTCAATCGATTGAAGTGCCAACAAGTTTGAACCCATAGATGTTCAGTTATACACTTTATATCACTTTATATCACTTTATATCACTTTATACTTGCAAACTCTATGGAATGCCATGAAATGTTCCTTTATAAATCGGGCTGCTCAGTTTTGTCACCTTGTGTTGTCCATTTTGTGGCTATCGTTTCAACAGATTCTGAGCCTTCTTGCACAGCTGCCACGGACAGGTGCGGCTTTTGCATTCATTAATCCTCATCGAAAAACTTACGATAGCGCCATTAAGCACGATGGATGGGATGATCATCAAAAGATCAATAATTTTCACCTATTTTCACCAGGCTTTGTTCCCAAATCACCGAAAAAATGGTCATCCGTCGGGTTTCCCAACACTCGCAAATTGCAGTGATTCGATCGCGCCACAGGCTGCGTGATGAGGCGCTGTGCTTGCAAATGCCCGTGAACCTGTGGCCATTGGCAGAGGGCAACAGCGCAAACCTCATCACATCCTGATGGCCAATGGCAGCTACTTCAAAAAAGTATTCTACAGTCTTATTCAGAGATAGTTGCCACATGTTGCCACATGTTAAAATGGCGAAAGTCAAAAGAACTGACTGGTAATTCTGAAGATGCCCGTTCCAATGGCTGGGCGATATTTCAAGAGGCTTGCGACGCCTGGTAGGTCCTTAACGGCTCCCGCAGAGTCTTTTCGAAGACCTCTTCATCCCTGCAGATGGCCGTGGTGTGTCAACAAATCCTTCCAGAAATCTCACCGAAGGCCTGGAATCTGTGCAACTGTGAATGGTTTGGTGGTTTAAGACGGTGCTTCTGCCGAGGGGTGTCTTTTACACTTGCCGGTCCTTTGTCGTAGCTGTAAGTCCCGTATTTGCATGTTTGACATGGGAGTTGAGGGCCCAAAAGTGTCTGATCTTCATCTTCAACTCGTGGGGCCGAACCCACAACTAGTAGCTTCGGGAAACTTCTTCGTGAATGCAGCTGCAGCTTGATTTCCCTTGGCAAGTGAAATTGCCCTAGCTCATCTCGTGAACCATAAAAGTCCGAGGAGCATGATACCCACAGAGAGCGTGGTGAAGTATGCCTGCATCATCGCAGGCAAGGCAGCAAATGGGGGGGGACAGGATCGCAAAGGCACGGATGACCAAGTATCCCACGCATGGATTTAGTGACTTACTTTTCTGGCGAAATGCAAAAGCCACGCTCGTGGCCCATACAGTCGCGCCTTCCACGCGTCCCAGGATACAATCTGTTCCTCAACCTGCACCATATTATGTCTCAAAGAGATGGGGTCTCATGCAAAGTGATGGATTGATGACGCTACAGTAACAAGAAACAATAAAATGTACCAATGTACCTTCCAGGACTGGGTGTTTTGCATCGTGTCCTCGGGTGGACCTCTCATGTTCCTAACACCATCCAACACCCATCAACACCAAATCTATATAGAGGTCTTTTCTGAAAAGACAACGAGGTCACACCATCACCTTCAGTCTCAACAAGAATGACATCACGACACCCTGACTCCAAGTTGTCGCACCGAAGCAACCGCCCTCTGCGGCGGCTCTTCATTGGTCCTTCGGCAAGGCACACCTGCAGCCCTGGCATGCGGCAGACGGGCAAATCGCGGAAGGGTTATCAATTATCATGATTCTATGAGTTGTCTTCTGGATCTGAAGAACAACCTAACGCCACCAGAGCCCGATGAGATC